CGAGAATAAGCATGCGATTTCCATCTGCCTAATTTCATAATTACCTCCTCTGAGACCCCTGCCTGGCCAGTTCATTGGCTCCCCTAATTCTAAAACTATGTGACCTAAAATGACCTTTACTGATATGAAGAAAATGTAAAGCCTTTTCCAGTATACTGCTGAATTGGTATCTATAGCTAGTTAAAGGCATACCATTATAATGTATAAACAAATCGTTATTGTAACAGGTAGGTCGTACCTTTAAGTATTCGTTAATGAGTCGTATCGGACAGTAGTTTTTTTCTGTTCCCAGGTATCAATAAAGTAACGGACTTTCCCTTTTGGTCAGTTTTTGACCACCTTACTCTTAGCTCCAGGACTTTTTTCTTAACTAAAATATCAGCAATTGTTAAGTTGGAGCCATTTATAACAGATTTAGTTTTTGAAGAAGTGATTTCCCCTACTCTTAGCAAAAAAATAAAGCAACTGAAAATAACTGCTGAAAATAAAGCAGCTTCATATTTATTCTTACATACTTTGTCTAAACAACGTGTCATATCTGATAACAATTGCACTGTAATTGGTGCTCTAATATCATTACGTTTCCCTCCTTGAATTCTTTTTATTCCTTCTAATGCCTTGCCAATTATAAAGAATTTTCTAGTATCCTGTATGCCTTGTATTTTATGATGATATGAAACTCCTGATATATAAGATGATATGGTACCCTAGAAAGACCTTGTACTGACAAAAAAGCTATAACATTTAGCAAATCATTGACTGGCACTAAACAATGCTGTTTCAATTTGTAAGATGATCTAAAATTACAAAGTTTTAACAGAGCCAAATTGTATGATTTTAGTGTATTTTTGGACATACCTTGATTGACAATATAATCCGCCACCTGACTTAAATGTTCCAGATCTGTGTTGGAATTTTGGTTTACTGGTCTGCTTCTGGAGCTAGGCTTCTGAACTTTCCCCACTGAGAACGAGAAAGACAATCAGCAATTTGGTTTTGTTTTGAAGGGATATAAATTGCCTTAACTGACGTATTGTTTTTTAAATTCATTAAAACCATTTGTCTTACTAAAGTCATAACTCTACTTGATTTGCTAGTTTTCATATCAATGATTTGAACAACCGCCTGATTATCAACATGAAAAATAACTTTTTTGTTAACAAAATATGATTCCAAGGACATAAGTGCTGCTACAACTGGAAACAACTCTAGCAATGCCATATCTCTGGTGATTCCAGTTCCAACCCAATGTTTTGGCCATATGCCTTGGTCCCACTGACCTGCAAAATAGATCCCATACCCACCTTTGGACCCCCTGCACTATCCGTGAACAACTCTAATTTTTCGTTTGAAACAAAATTGTATTGTTTTTAAAAGTCTAACCAAACTTCTAAATCTGCTTCCATCTGCTTGTTTACTCGAATTTTGTAATATGATTTTTCTTACCCCAATTGTTGGATTTATGAGTCTGCGACAGAAAGTGCGGCCTGGAGCAACCACCTTGCAAGCAAAATTCAGGAGCCCATGCATGTCGCATGTCTTTACGAGTTATTTTAGAACTCTCTAAGGTATCTCTGATTTTTTGTGAGAGTTTGTCAAGTTTTACATTTGCAAGCCGCATGATTAAATTTTGCGTATCAAATTCTATACCCAAATTAATCAGTAATGTAGAAGGCAAAGTAGTCTTGTCACTAGCAAGAGGAATATCTATTTTATCGCATACCTCTAGGAAAATCTGTCAGTGGCTGCATATGAAATTTGTATTGTGCTTTAAATATATTCCTATGAAATTAACATTCACCTGTCTATAAATGAACTTATGCAGTAACGGTCCATCATAAATTTGGCTGCATGGTCGTCGAGCATAGCAAAGTTTAAAATTTCAACATCGCATGTATTGTATCATTTGTTTTACATTATAACATATATTTTCCCTGTTTAGTAATATGTATCTTTCATCCTCCTGTGTTTTCTCCATTGGTCTATATTTACAGGAATTTGCTGATTGACGATGAATTACCATGCTATAACTTTATGAACACACAATTCTACGTCAGATATTGAATTAATGCAGAATTAATGCTATAAGTATACTGTAAAAAATCACCAAAGATACTAGGCATATAAATAAGTGTGTACGCCAGACGTGCGTTTCGGCTACAAAAGACTCATCAGTGACGCTGGAAAAAAAAATAAAATGCCAAAAAAAGTACGAAGATGAAGAGAATTGAGGGCAAAAAATGCCGAAAGACATTGCAAAAGACAGCTAAGGTAATCTATTTCTGGGAGAGGGAATCCCTAGTCTTTTGAACTATTAAAAGTTTTGCATCTGATAGATCCATTTATCATATACTTAGATTAGATAACTTAGAGTAAATAATTTTTACAGTATGATAATAGCATTAAATTTACATGAATTCCATATTTTCCGAAATGGTGCTTAGCGGGCTGATATGAAAAACTTATTAACTGCTTCCGGCTATCATCGCATGCCTTTCCGTAACGTTATCGCATAATATTCCGACGTTTCTCGGCAAATTCCGGAAAATACACCCCAGTGGTAGGTTTTCAGTGAAAAACATAACAAAGTAGCCAAACAGTGTTTATTATGCATTGTTGATTTTTTTTTATCGTCAATATAAAAATATATCATACTGATGTTTTTCTCCTCTGTTGAGGCATATGATAGAAAGGTTTTATATCGGTAAACTTTTCACTTTTTGAACTTCTACTTGAGAACCACTTAAAAGGATCAATATATTAAACTGTTATTTTTCTCCATTGTTGAAGCATGTGATAAAACGATCATAACATGTCATTCCTTCAATTATATCATCCTTCGGCTCTTGGGTTCATATTGAACCTTAGGCTGATAATACATCTGATATGAGAAATGCCATGTAATAATCTGATAGTATCAAATATATTCATGACGAATAACTTTTCTTTAATTGTTCTCTCTACTTTTTATTTTTGATACTACATGTATTATCTGTATTGTACTAATGTTATTATTGTCATATTAATTGTTTGTATTTGTAGGCTTTTGACCCTCGAAATTCATAAAGTGTTGTTCTTCAATATAATCATTGTATTAGTACAACATGTATAATTATCAAAGATCATAGAATCCGTTATTTAAACGTAGAAAAATAAAACGTTTTAAATAGAACATGAATATAACTTAGAACAGCCCTCATACAACCCGAATATTACTATCTTATGGATTCTGTAATCCATGATAGTCCTGGAGTCCTTCAATGCATTCGTTTCTCGCCTCAGCCGATTCTTAAATAGTAATGAACTACAAACATGCAGTGTTCAACAGTGCTCAAGATTGTCCAATAACGCGTATTATAAAAACAACTTTCTTGTTCCTGTTTGGGATGGCCTTGTTGTTTTGTTTTTTTGTTGTTTTTTTTTCATCTTGTTTTTTTTTTATCTTGTATTTTGTACAGGTCTGTCATATCAATAGACTATTTTTATATATCCGACTTTTGACTCCCGATTATATAATTTTTCGACAGGTTACCAAATCTATGGTAGAACATCCTGGTACTTGGTCAAGAAAGAGCGACAAAAAGAAGTAAAAATCAAACATATAATCGGTGCATTTACCGTGTTCCGATTATTTTGTTGTGTATAGAAAATATAAAACAGTTAATTTTCCTCCAAAATTGCACCGATTGAAAGATTGATTTTACTTCAACAGTTAAAAGTCGGTAACATGAAAATGGTCTATTAAAATGAATCCGATAGCGGTATAATTTTTCACTATCATAACTAAAAATACCTCTTTAAAAGCAACAAATTCCAGAAACAAGATGAAATATACATTCATTTGTACCACAGTTGTCATCATATTGCTGATATTCAAAATAACATTGTGCAAGAGCAATTTGTACTTGACTTCAAAAAGATGTTTTAGACCTGAAATATAATCCCGGATAATATTAACATTTCCCTATGCATAGTTACGTTAAAAAAATCATAATTATACAAAGAGTACAAATTCATAATTATACAAAGAGTAAAACTATGTTGTGACGGTCATGTTAAATATCAATAAATTAAACACACAACAACACATAATTTGACATATAATTTAAAAACAAAGAATACGAGGAAACCATCAATGACACAAAATCAGTACATGAACAGCAAAAAACACACAAAAAGCAATGCGTATTTTGCGCAGTTGAAAATTGAGTTTTATTTCTAAAACTGTTTGCAGTGTTACGTGAAACGTCAATAGATAGTCGAAAGAATTGATGCAATTTATCATTCAATAATTGCAACATTAAGACAGCTCACTGATGTAAATTTTCAGCACATTCCTATTCAGAATTTAATGCACAAAATTGTTGATCAAATTTTGTCTTCTTGAACTATTCATTTTGAGGAGGAAAACAATCATGTTTCAATGTTTGGAGTCAATATCTAGATCTCTTATAAGATTTTCAGATGTATAATATTGTAAACAGATTTGAAAACATTTTTTTATATTTAAAATACTTCAATGTATGTGCCGTGTTTATATAAACAAAGAGGTAAAAGTAAAGTAACAAAAATACCGAACCCCAAGGAAAATTCAAAACGGAAAGTCCCTTATCAAATGGCAAAATCGAAAGCTCAAACACATTAAACGAATGGAAAACAACTGTCATATTCCTGATTTGTTACAGGCGAACAATGACCTTTCTTCAGCTATTATCAGATTTAATGCAAGATCTAGGTTACATTTGTACCTCTTCCCAAATCAACCGCATCATTTGTCTAATTATGTGTTGTGGTTTAGTTGATTTATTGATATTTCACATGTCTCTGACAGCATGGTAGTTAAGTTCATGTACATCATTACGCTTGTTTATTAGTTAATTTATTTTTTTAGGAAATTTTTATTTTATCCGGGATTATTTTTCAGGTGAAAAACATCCTTTTCAATACAAGTATAAATAGCTGCTGCACTTCAATTTTATTTTATACATCAGCAACACGATGACAACTATGGTACAAATTAATGTTTATTTCATCTTGTTTCTGGGATTTGTTGCTTTTATAGAGGTATTTTTAGTTATGATAGATACAATTTCTTCCAGAATCGCATGCATTTTAATTGAAATCAAAGGATATAGGGTAGACGTTTCCAAGATACAAGATCTCATGAAAAATTTTTTAAAAAATTAAAAAAAAGATAAGGCCAAACCAAGCTGCAAAAGCTAAATTACTTTTATTTAACGCGTTATTGGAAAATCTTAAGCTATACATAACTGTAGTTAATTACTTTGTGAAAATTAAGCTTAAATGGGCAAGGAATGGATTGAGGGTTCTGTTATCGAAAAACTCCAGGACTACCATAAATCACAGCATCTATAAGATAGCTATAGTCGGGTAGTATGAGGGCTATCCTAAGTTATATTGTTGTTCCATTTAAGACATTTTTTTTTCTACGATGAATTAATCATTTCATTTTCTTTGATAATAATGTATAATATGTCGATTTTAAAAATTACTAAAGAACTTCTGGATACTTTTTAAATATCGCTCTTTCTCTGATATTTTTTTATTTTTCAACCCTGTATACCACCATTCCCCTTGTGAAATTAAAAAGTCGTCTAAAAGAAATATTCCACAATGCTTTTCAATAAAAAACCTTTCACTTGTATGGCAATGTTAAATATAACACTAAAATGACACCATTACATGACATAAATACAGTACAACATTACGGACAGAGAATTACACAAATGAACAATACAATATAGTACATTTGGACAACAAAACAACAGAAACACTGAAGTGAACATACAACAATGCAACACACACATAAACAAAGTATACGATAACAATTGCCATTTTCCTGACTTGGTACAGGACATTTTTAAGAAGAAAACATGCTACACAGAGGAACAAGTGATCAGTACGCTGGAGTTTCTTATTGACAGCATATTTGTTGAATTTGGACGTAGACTTTTCAAAAATTGTTTGCATCCTATGGGAACGAACTGTGCACCTCTCCTTGCCGACCTCTACTTATTTTCATATAAGTTGGAGTTCCTACAGACACTTGTCAAAAACAAGAAGATAAAAGAAGCCAAATCTTTTAATTTTCACATTCAGATATATTGACGATGTTGTTGTCATTGAAAATCCAAATTATTCTGATTGGGTTCCATTAATATATCCTCCAGAACTTTTTTTAACATTAACAAATTCTTTATTGCACTAGTATCTAGTTGTTAACAACTGTCCTATATAGTACACTTATTCTATATAAGTTTATCCCTGTGTATTAATCGTCAAATGAACCAGGGGATTGACTTGACGAAATTGTGTAGTCTTCTTTGTTAGAGTTATGTACATTTGCATTATAACTTTTATTTTGCGAATATCTGTTTTCTCCGTTTATTTTTTTGTGTTATTTACAGTAATTTATTTATAAACCCTACACGTGTTACTTTCCGATGGATTTAAAAATTTGTCTATCATATTTAATCAAGGTAAGTTTCGAATATAATTAGTGTGTCACTTTCATTAGGATGATTTAATATGTAAGGTTTTATAGAATAAGAGCGATATAATTATATTGTATAGGTGTATAAACTTACATTTGGGTTTAAGAGATATATACATGTATACGTATGCTTAGGCGAGTGTATGTGTGTTTTATTTTGTATGTGAACAAGGTCATGATGGTAGATGTACAAAAACAAATCGCATGTAATGTATTAAAAGAGTTTTTTTTTTCTCTTTACGCAATGGAAATCACTGAATTCTTGCATAATGTGTCACGATGTTTTTATTATTGTCGAATCGAAACTAGTATGGGACATAAGACGGTTTTCTAAATTAGTAATATATCTTCTTATTTTCAATTTTGAAGAAACCAAACAGTTGAAATATCTACTGTCGTTTCATTGAACGTTTAATTTAGAACAATATCAAAAATTGAAGATATTTTAAAAAGAAATATATAGACAAAAAAAATCCTTACATATCCTCCAGAACTAGAAATTAAAGAAACAACAGACACGGTTACTCTGCCTCATTTTTAGACTTTTACCTGGAATTTGACATAAGCGGTCATCCCAGTATCAGAATCTGTAACAAACGAGACGATTTTAATTTTAGAATTATCAATTCCCCCACATCAGTAGTAATATACAAACTTCACCTGCATATTGGATATATATTTCCGAACTCATTCGGTATTCAAGAGCTTGCAGCTGTTACTCAGACTTTAAAAAACGTCACCAGTGTCTGAGTAGAAAGTTGATGAACCAGGGTAATGTTAAGGAAGTTTCGTCCTTTTTCTAAACAAGTTCATCGGAAGATACCAAGACCTTGTTGATAAATATTCCGTATCAACCTCACAAATAATACATGATGGTATTGAAGTACAGATTTTAGGAACTGACGTTGTTTATCATCTTAATTACGTGTTATAGTGTTCTTTTATTAGTCTTTGTAAATTACTAACCTTTACTGTTTAATCCATTTTTGGTCATATCCTTTTGACGTGGGTCGGTACTTATACATCCCGCCATTGTGTTATTGTGCTATGGTAATTTTTTGTACTCTTGTCTTCATTTTTGCTTATTTGCTTTGTCTATACCATTTTACTTTTCTATGTTGACATATTTGGTTTTTTTTTTATAGTGATTAAGATTACAGCACAATGTTGACAGCTGTACCCCTGTTTTGGACAATTTTACCTATTATGTCAGTTTGTTTTGTTCACACATTGTTGTCAAAATAATGGAATTTTATGCAACTGTCATACAAATGAGAGGTTTAACTAGCTATAAAACCAGATTTAATCCACCATTTCTACATAAAGAAATGCCTGTACCAAGTCAGGAATATGACAGATGTTTTCCATTCGTTTGATGAGTTTGAGCGTTTGATTTTGCCATTTGATAAGGAACTTTCCGATTTAAATTTTCCCTGGAGTTCCCTATTTTTGTTATTTTAGTTTTTCAATGGGAAAAAACACAGGAAAATGACAGATACATATTATAAAACAAGAAAAATGATATAATGCAAAAAAAAAAAAAAAAAAAAAAATACAATACATGCATTGCTTTCAAAATTTAAAAACTTTGTAATCCTCTACGAGAGGGTAGCAAAATTGAAACTGCTAAAGAAATCAAGATCTGTCTAAATTATTCGATACAATTTATGTTAATACAAAAACAGCTGTGTAAAATGACAAGATAATATATGAACGTTGAATATTCTACAGTTAAATATTTCTTATATATATTAGAATATGTTCAACTGCCTATATTATTGACTACCAATTTAAATTGAAATGTTGAGATTGATATTTTTAAGTAAAACATTTTTCATCAAATAATTTCATTTTCCACTGGGAAGTTTATGATTCATTATCTCTCAGCCTTCGACTCTAAGGTTGAGTATCATGACTTGGGACTGAATACATTCGATATGAAAACACTCATGTAATATTCTGATATTTTTGAAAATTTGTATGGTGAGAGGTTTATGATATAAATAAAGGCAACAGTAGTTTACCGCTGTTCAAAAGTCATATATCTATTGAGAGAAAACAAATCCTTGTTACAAACTAAAACCGAGGGAAACACATCAACTATAAGATAAAAACAACGGAACAACAGAAACACTGAAGTGCAATAAAAACAAACGCCAACATACATAGAAACGAACTATTTGATAACAACTGCCATATTCCTGACTTGGTACAGGAAATTTTAAGAAAAAATGGTGGGTTGAACCTGGTTTAATGGCTAGCCAAACCTCCCGCTTATATGACAATGTTAACAAAATATCGCTAAAACGACAACACTATATTACGACAGAAATACAGGCTAATTTAAATAAATGCTATGACGACGTCATAATTATTTGGAATAACACAATGCTTTATCCATGGAAAATGTAAATTAACTCGACTATACTGACAAATAAGACATATGTGAAATGTACCGACAATACAGAATGCTAACCACAAACGATAAGAAATAACACAATATCCAGCAGAAACCACAACATTAACATCATAAATAAATACATGAATGTTGGATGTATAAATACCGAGACACGTCGTATATCAATGCAAATTCACACTCGGCAAAACAGTCATATTCAAGAATAGGTCACGTTCGGTACTTAGAAAACAGACGACATAGATGATAAACCACAATCTAAGACGTGGTAAAAATGTCATTAGTTAGTTTAGACACAGACACATGGTATAGATCAACCAATTCGTGATGTAGTCCATACAATTTACGGAGTGTCATTTTTAATCTTTCCTCCTCATAACTCTGTTGGAGCAGTTTCTGCGTAAGGAGCACACTCCTGTATATAAAGTCCGTATAGTGTGAACATGCACGAGCATAACGTATCAATTGAGATATGTAAACGCCATATGACAGAGCAGTGGGTATGTTACTGCTTAGAAATTGGAAATTGATAATTAGGAAGTTGAAATCATCCCGTTTGTCATAGATTTTAGTGTGAAGTCGTCCATCTGTGTCAATATTGACGAAAAGATCAAGGTATGAAGCAGTCCTTCTAGTATCAGTAGTATCCTTAATTACAAGTTCACTGGGATATATGAGATGCAAGTACTGACTGAAATATGGGTTATTCATTGATAGGACATCATCAATATTTCTGAAAGTAAAATTAAAGAATTTTGCAAGGTGTTTTTTGTTTTTGTCTTTTAGCAGGTTCTGAATGAATTCTGCTTCATACGAGTACAAAACCAAGTCGGCCAGAAGGGGTGCACAATTAGTACCCATTGGAATACCGACTGTCTGTGTATTTTCTGTTAGAATCAGTGTGGTTCTTCACAAAATAAGAATTATTATAACCCAAAACAAAAAAATTATATCTACGATTCCCATTTTTATAGAAAAAGCTCTGTTTAATGAGATGGTGAAGTCGATATTTCAATTGAGCATGGGAAATAGTAGTGTAAAGCGTAGAAAAATCAAAGGTCTTAATGATACATTTGAAAATGCCTGTACCAAGTCAGAAATATGACAGTTGTTGTCCATTCGTTTGATGTGTTTTATCATTTGATTTTGCCATTTGATTAGGGACTTTCCGTTTTGAATTTTCCTCGGAGTTCAGTATTTTTGTGATTTTTCTTTTTGCTGCTAAATTGCAGAGATTGTGATCTAAGAGTTACCAGTAGATCTTTAGAATTTTTGAAAATCCACATCTGATTGACACCACTGGTTGAATATATCTCATCACAATATTTTGAAGGCCATCTTTTACTATAGAAAGAATAGTAGTCAGTACTTTAGAAATATGTTAAGTCGAACATCTTGATGATCCAGCTATGTATCGTTCTTTATACGGAGTTTTGTGATGTTTTGGTATCCAGTATAATGACGGTAGATTTCTTCGTTTTCTTTGATGTTAATACCAAAAGAAAAAAGGACAGATTTGTGATTTTGTTAAATTTCATAATTTGTAAATGATGTTAAAGAATATGTAGGATTACCAGTTGTGCTGTTTATTTCAAGCTCTTTTGTGAAACATTGCAAATAATAATATTTGAAGTCCAATGACATATTTTTCGTGATAATCAATAGAACTACTCTTAATTCTTGTACCTAACGTTTTAAGTTGGATCGTTACTACTAAACTTCAGTTATAAATATAAAGAGGCATACATTAGAAGCACAATGGATATTACGTAGGCAGCCATTGCAAGATATAAAAGTCAGATTTTTGTCACTCCTGAGACTAAATGGACGTAAACGTTTTTTTTTTGTTTTTTTCGTTTTCCTTTTAAATAATAGTAGCTATAATATGGGTTTAAACATGTAAAATTGTTGAGACATCAAATACTTGGTAAAATTTAATGAAACTCAGCAAACTTTACATGATTAAGAGACAACATCTGAAACAAAATTTTCAAAATATATGTTTTCATATTCTCAATTTTTATCTGATATTAAACATTTGCATAAGTTTTTGGGTCATATCGAGAACTTTGTCAACTATTCATTGAACGTTACAAAACTTGGACAACAGCGTCTTGATTATCAGGAGTAGCATCTGAAGATTATTAGAATTTTTCCGTATTTTTCTGATTAATGGTTTGATAAGTGGATTAGTTTTTGGGCAGTCAATATACTCTTATTCCCGTTTGTATATTTTGCCTCTCTTTTACATTGACAGCAGCAATTGGAGGCGAGGCACAGTGTTACGCCGAATTCTTTGAAAAGTTTTCATATAATATCTCATCTAATAACACCGTAAAAGAAAGGAAAAGGTTCATTACCAAAAAAAGAGGTCTTAAATGTATCGCTTTGTCCATAAAGCAATAATTCTATGATTTTCCGGAAAACTTTCTTAAGGCATGTACATTTTTGTCCTTGCTTAATGAAAAATTGTAGAAATATGTGTGATAGAACACGCTTCAATGACTTTGGACCATCATAGAACATACATTAGTGTTAAGATACCTTCAAGAGGTCTCAACTCCGTTAAAGCTATTTTGAATATCGCAACATCTGTTCTCATTATCTACTTGCGATTATATGAAATCATTGTTTGCAATTATAAAGTTATTTTAGAGACATAATTTGAAATAGGAAATAACAATAACCTCAAGTACTTTAATACAAACTGCCAATTACCTATGTGTTTGTTTAACGCACAGGATTGTAATCAGAAAGCTATTCAAACCTAATTAAATTGAAATATAAAAGAGTCTTTTAAAATGCTGAAAAACAGATATCTATATTTTTTAAGTGAGTTATCCATCGCTGTTTACAATTGGCTGCGTCTTTTCCTTGGTTTTCGTAAATGAGAGGCGAAAGATACCAGAGGAACATTCATACTCATAAGTCGAAAATAAACTGATAACGCCATGGCTAAAAAAGAAAAAGACCAACAGACAAACAATAGTACACAAAACACAAAATAGTAAATTTTGCATCGATGGTTAATTTTTTACCAATATGAAATATTTTGTATTGACCACAATATATATTTTTGATTCCGATACACTTTTTTTGTTTTGGTTATAAATGTTTTTCTAACAGATTTTTTATAACTAGTAACAATATGCCAATTTTTTTCAAAAAACAATTTAGAGCTTTTAAAAAATAATCCTTAAAATTGCACACAAGAAGCTGTGATATTGTTCTATTGGGAGTATTTCCGAACAATGTACATTCAGCGGAATTAAGTCAGTGTCAATTAGCTATCTCGTTATCATCATCATCATTAGAAGCAGTATCACTATGATGATTTTATTTCATTAGGTGAATTGTAAAGGCCTAGGCACTTGTCCTAAGTTTGACTTTGCAACAGACTGTGTTATCCACTTTGATTTCCATTGTGCTGTTCAAAAACAATGCCCTTCAGGTAAGTTTTCAGTTATTGATAAATTTGTGTCTATGTTACATTACCAAGAAAAGACAAATTAACCGCAATAAATTTCAAGGTTCTTGCTATGGAACAGACACAGTGTTATGACACGATATTTAATTACTTCTGTGATTACTCATTGAACATTTTGTAATTTTGATCACAATGAAGAAAACGATGCATAGACAGTAGTCGATAAAAGAGGCACCCAATTGAACTCAATAATATCCGTATAACAGACAAACAAAATCCTGTTATGTGACAAAATAAATTACATACGAACAAGACACCGTGACAAAAAACCCGATGTTAAACTTGATGCAATAGCACGTTTTCTTCATGTCGGACATTGTGTTGAGTAGGGTTTGTAAGAAAACTAAAGCCAATAAAAAAGTATCATGTCGACATTTGACTTTTTCGGCTGGATTCTCTGTGAGATATTACTTTTACGTACTACTAGATATATGTAAGTTTAATTAGTCTAAAAACTGCATAGTTTCATATAATTTTAGTGGAAAAGCATTCTCAAAAACATAATCATATTGCCATAAACATGATAAATACTTTAATTGTATTAAATGTCCGGAAAATCTTTCTGAAACAGTTGCATTGCTATGATAACTTATCTAACTATTGAAACAATCTGTATTAAAATATGCTTGACATCTGTAAACGTGTAAGATAGGTATAAATTAAAAAATTTCTAAATATAAGAAATAGGAGCACCTGAGATCACCCCCAGTTTTTGGTGGGGTTCGTGTTGCTTAGTCTTTAGTTTTCTATGTTGTCTCATCTGTACTTTTATTTGTCTGTTTGTTTTTTTTATTTTTGGCCATGGCGTTGTCAGTTTGTTTTCGATCTATGAGTTTGACTGTCCCTCTGGTATCTTTCGTCCCTCTTTTGCAACCTTTACATGTATACACTGATACAGAATGTTTGCCGTCTTACATTTTTTTACTAGCCTTCTGTAGATAAAATGATAGTCTGCCGTACTAAATCATAAGCGTGCTATCTTTAATACATTTTCGCAATTACATTTAAAATAAGAAACACATTTGTTAATTAACTACACATTTAGTCACATAGATGTAAAGAAATGTAATTTTAAACTGTTATTTTTTTAGGATATAGATGTTGTCCCCATGGTTGCAATAGAAGATGTGCAGCAGTTACAGTTAATGGAAAACACTTAGGTTTGTTTCTTTAAAACCAACATAATTACATTACATGTATGTTTCATTATAATCCGTCATTTTGGTTGGCTGACAACAATCGCAAGACACCTCAATATCACATTCCATTTCCGTATAAAATACAACAAAAATGACTTCACGTGCTATCCGTGACAATATTAAAATAATGCGTTGAAAATCAAACGGAGATTTGTTATAGCTCTCAATTACAAGGGTGTAATATAAATATAGTAAATATGGGAATTGAATGCTCCTGTTATTAAGTTTATAGGGTTGTAAAAGCGTTGATCGTGCGCACATTTCTAATATGAAGCGCTTACGCGCTTCATACAATATGTGTTCCGGTTAACGCTTTTACACCCAATTTAAATTATCAAAATAAGCAATCAATTCATAATTATTACAAACATAATATTTGTACTCAATTACAAATTAAACCTTTAAAGATTATATATGTTCACAACTACAATGTACGAATTTAATTGACGATCCATACCATAACATGATAACATGCGTAATCTTGTTTTGAATTATTATTGTGAGTCTTAGGTTTCTTCAAAATCTCTTAAATTGTCTCAATAAGAATAAACTTTTCATATTTCATATTCTGTTAATATTTAAAGATATTTTATACCAATTTTGGTATAAAACGACAGCAAAATGAAGAAATTCGATTTTTCAACGACTCATTTTGTGTCACACGATACTGATCTAGCGGTTACTAACAAGGACTTGAGTCTCTAACTCTGCAAAATGTATCATCTAATTCTGGCAAAAACTATAATCAATCGATGAAAATACTGTAAAACATTAACGGTAGAAGTTCTATTGTAGTACAATGTTTAAAATTCCTAAACTTAATACAAAGGTTGAAGAGCTGATAAAACCATAACGGACAAAACGGAAAGCTAATCCCGGACGAGGAATCAGAAATATGCTTAAGGGGAAGACATTACTTGATTTAAAATCATCTCGAAACTTTAAAACAGTAAATTTAAATCAATCAATATCAGTATTCCCATGATTGTACGAATGTACTTGTAACTGAGCTAAAGAAACTCTCTTTGACTAACAGAGACCTTTAACGGTACAAATTTTACTGCACCAGATGTATATTTTGACAATGTAAATATATTCTTTAGATAAGTATGTTAAAATTGTTTTTCATATTATTTATAGATAAATGATTTTTACTATTTGATGATAAACAAAGTGTCAATGCATGGATTTCTTCATTCTTCTCACAGTGACAAAACAAATTGAACATAACAAGATTTTTTGTATAATTTTCCATTTTATAAAACTGTTTTTTGATTTTGAAGAATAATTTAATTAAATTTTTCACTACTTAAAACATTCTTTTATTCTTAATTTCTTAACACAATTTCATTATTTTTTACGTTTGAGAATCATATATGTGAAACTTTTCTTGAGTGGTATGATAATTTTAACCTTTAGTAACACATAAATTGCGGTTTTGTAGTAGTACATAAATATACAAGTTATGTACCTGTCGTTGTACATTGAATTTTTAACTCATAAATAACTTGTGTATTTTAAAACTCATCAAGTATTTCAACTATAAATCAAAACATTGTTTTGCAATATGGTAGAAAGATAAAATTAAAGCAAGTGTACTCGACTACCGTTATAATTATAAAATCTTACTTTTTATATAAATTTCTGTAAATTATATATTTCGTGAGTTACCTCTGTTGCCTAGTGCGAGATCAAGTCTAGTAACAGCTCGATTCTAGCAGTCATTCCCTCTTTCGTTCCGTCTGTCCGAAATATTTAAAGGTTGCCTAGCTTGTGTCATCTGTTTCGCAAGTGGAAAAAGGAATTCCTTAAAAATCGTCCAAACATTCCATCGTCATCGCACACATATTTAAGATGTGTACCTCCTATTTTGGCTAGTTTTACGAAATTTTATCACAGTTTTTCAATCAATGTAACTTTACCATTTTTGTCAATGAATGCTATCGAAAGTACCTAGTTCGTGCAACATATTTGTTTAGGGGCCAGCTGAATGACGCCTCCGGGTGCGGGTGCTCTATGGTCGAGTTGTTGTCTCTTTGACACATTCCCAATTTCCATTCTCAATTTTAACTCTAATAGTTATTTGTCAAGAGTATTCAAACTAAGCGTAGTTATCGCGTACAGATGTTGAATAAAAGTAACAATCAATTCCTGAATCAAACTATGTTCCAATCAATGGAGCTGAAGGCCGACCTTCAAAACACCACGGTGCTACGCATGCCATGAAAAAGTATTGATCTGGTTTAGTTACGTGTTGTAGCAAGTATTCAAAATGTGAATATATCAATCTTATATATTTAATTAATCGGATAGAACCTGCTTTCAACAGTTCAACGTGTATACTTCAATGTTCAAATAAATGCCTAAATAATTCTGTTTCTTTCGTTTCAAATTTACAGAGAGTGAAGTTAAAAGAGTAATGTACTAAGCCATATATATTCGTATATCTTTTTCCTTTTTTATTAACTCAACTCGGTATTTTATATTGAGTGGTGCTTTACTGGTTTAAAAAAGACATAATCCATGCAATACTTATTCGCAGCTATACATAAATATCCATGTGGCATAACAGTACAGGCAAAAAATTGTTACCATTAAGCAATTTACCTACTTATAACAGGAGTTGCTCATCATGACAATAAATTCAGATTTGTATTTAGATAAACGATCAACAGCAAATTCAAATGCCATTTCTTATTTGGTTTTAGTTGCTTGAAATTGTTGTTTTACCATGAAATTTAAATCTCTTCCAAATAGAATTTCCCAGGATTTATTTGTTCGCATGCAAGAGAAAAGTCGGTAGCTGCATCAGTTTTTGCTAATAAAGCCAAAGATATAAATAATATAATTTCTCTTATTTAATATTTAAAGATCTGATTTTAATAACTTTTTTCATCTTGTACAACTGTGATAAAACAGGGCTTACAAGTTCCCCCTAAATTATAACCAGAATCATTGTACAGTATGTAATTTTTATATTACAGTTGGAAATATATGTTATTAATGTTGGAAAATCAGACATCAGATGATTGGTCTGTAAGAAGAAAAATAATGGAAAATTGTAAAGAGTATTTTGTTATTTCAGACATTACAAAAGCAAATGCAGCAAAACTCAAACTTTTGTTTCGATCTTATTTCATGATAAATGTCTATCGTTAAGTTTATATGTTTTTAATGTAAATTTAGGCCTCATATGTTACTTGGTATATTTTGCAGGGTCTTGTCGTGGTGCCTCTGGTAAACGTGGAAAAAAATGTACGGTGGATAGAAGTTGTGAAGGACATGAAAAGTGTTGTTATGGAAGATGCCGAAAAGTCAGGAAACAAATTGTTAAGGTTCTTTATCCTATCAAACATTAGTTAGAATTGATTAGTTTGAAAGAAAGTAATATCATTAGGAAACATCATTGTGAATTATACTTATATTATGAAATAATAAAAGCTTCAGTTAAGTTTGTTTCATTTGAAGACCGTACTTTGACCTATAACGGTTTACTTTTAAAAATTTTGACTTGGATGGAGAGATGTCTCATTGGCACTCATACCACATCTTCTTATATCTATTATGAATAGTTATAATACAAACCAAATGATACCGTTATTAATAATACACACTATGTTTATATTTCAAAATCATATTCCTTGTCAATTATGCTCGAAAACAAATATAAGAAATACTAAATTAAAGTTTTAGACTGTTTCCTGTCCTGCTTTTATTATTTTAACTCTACCTTATATGATATGTCAATATTAACTTGGGTGGCCTAGATACCAATATATTGTAGGGGTTGAGAATCAATGCAGCGTAAATACCATATGAAAAGTAAAATAAAAAAAAATATCAAACTCCAAGGGAAATTCAAAACGGAAAGTTCCTTATCAAATGGCAAAATCTAAATCTCAAACACATCAAACAAATGGAAATTAACTTTCATATTCTTGACTTGGTACAGGTATTTTCTTATGTATTGTGGATTAAACCTGGTTTTATAGCTAGCTAAACCTGACACTTGTATGACAGTCGCATGAAATTCCATTATATTGACAACTATGTATGAGAAAAACAAACAGACATAATAGGTAACAATGTCAAAAATTGTGCTACATTAGTCAACACTGTTTTATCATCTTAATCACTTTTAAAGCAAACAATTATGTCAACAAAGAAAAAACGGAAATGGCATATACACACACTAAAGACAAAGCACATAACCAAAACTGAAAGACAAGAATACAAAAAAAAGGTCCTGCTTTTATTATTTTAACTCTACCTTATATGATATGTCAATATTAACTTGGGTGGCCTAGATACCAATATATTGTAGGGGTTGAGAATCAATGCAGCGTAAATACCATATGAAAAGTAAAATAAAAAAAAATATCAAACTCCAAGGGAAATTCAAAACGGAAAGTTCCTTATCAAATGGCAAAATCTAAATCTCAAACACATCAAACAAATGGAAATTAACTGTCATATTCTTGACTTGGTACAGGTATTTTCTTATGTATTGTGGATTAAACCTGGTTTTATAGCTAGCTAAACCTGACACTTGTATGACAGTCGCATGAAATTCCATTATATTGACAACTATGTATGAGAAAAACAAACAGACATAATAGGTAACAATGTCAAAAATTGTGCTACATTAGTCAACACTGTTTTATCATCTTAATCACTTTTAAAGCAAACAATTATGTCAACAAAGAAAAAACGGAAATGGCATATACACACACTAAAGACAAAGCACATAACCAAAACTGAAAGACAAGAATACAAAAAAAAGGTCCTGCTTTTATTATTTTAACTCTACATTACATGATATGTCAATATTAACTTGGATGGCCTAGATACCAATGTTTTGTAGGGATTTAGAATCAATGCAGCGTAAATACCATATGAAAAGTAAAATAAAAAAAAATATCAAACTCCAAGGGAAATTCAAAACGGAAAGTTCCTTATCAAATGGCAAAATCTAAATCTCAAACACATCAAACAAATGGAAATTAACTGTCATATTCTTGACTTGGTACAGGTATTTTCTTATGTATTGTGGATTAAACCTGGTTTTATAGCTAGCTAAACCTGACACTTGTATGACAGTCGCATGAAATTCCATTATATTGACAACTATGTATGAGAAAAACAAACAGACATAATAGGTAACAATGTCAAAAATTGTGCTACATTAGTCAACACTGTTTTATCATCTTAATCACTTTTAAAGCAAACAATTATGTCAACAAAGAAAAAACGGAAATGGCATATACACACACTAAAGACAAAGCACATAACCAAAACTGAAAGACAAGAATACAAAAAAAAGGTCACAATTACAAAATGGCGGGCAAAGATAAGAAAGGAACATACTACTTTTTTTCTTGTAGTTAATTTTCCACCTCTATAGAAAATGTCTTATCACTAAATATGTAAAAAGAACCGTTTCGGTCCCCTCTTACAAAATCTTGTTATTCGTATAATCATCTGTCCATTTATAGACATTATGGTTAAGAATAATACACCATTAAGAATCACATTTCAATATGTTTTCTCTTTGAAACGGCATTAAATACAATTACATTTTTAGGTTAAGTTGTACCAAGCATCTAGTTGTTAAATTTTACTTATAAAGTAATTCAGTGTGTTTCTGGGGGGGTCTCTACCTTGTCGTGATATTTTTAATTTGCTCTTTAAAAGAGAGGCGACAGATACCAAAGGGACATTCAAAAATTATCTCATTAGTCGAAAATAAACAGACAATGTCATGGCAAAAAAAAAGAAAAAGCCTACAGACAAACAACAGTATACAAAACACAACATAGAACACCAACGACTGAACCACACGAACCCCATTAAAAACTTGGGGTGATCTCAACTGCCCAGGAAGGGTAATCAGGCCTTGCTTCACATGTGGCACCTGTCATCTTGCCAATCTTAGTACAAATCCGGTGAAAGGTCTAATTCGGTATCTCACGTTCAGTGAAAAGGAAAACGGGATTGCGGTTACGACGATTGAAACATATCCGTCGTTATCTGTTAAACAGTTATTCCATAACGGTCAACTAACTCGTGATAGCGTCCGTAAATATTTAGGGACGATTTCAACTTCACCACACGAAACTTTTGGCTAAATAGCTTCCTTATGAACAGTAACCCTCTATTGAGAAATCATTAATCAAATTCTTAATTCTCATATCAGCTATAAAGGAGAACCAGTTCTTTGTCCTTAATGCCAAATTTCGGACGTATATCAGAATCATTTGAGAAATAATCCGAAACAGCCTATTTAAATAGGTGTACATCATTTTGGTACACACTTTAACTGGCATAAAAGAGAGGAGAAAGATACAAACGGGAACATTCACTCATAAGTTGAAAATAAACTGACAACGCCATGGCATTAAAAGAAAAAGACCAAATGACAAACAACAGTATACAAAACACAGCATGGAAAACAATAGACTGACCAATACGAACCCCATCACAACTGAGAGGTAATACATCAAGTTCACTGATACCCATTGAATGTCTACCATAAGTCCTTGAAGACACGCTATTGCAATTACAATATATGAAAATAGGCTTAGAAAAATCTTGACGAAAACTGAAAGAAATGGTAACGTGTTTCAAAGTATCAAGATTTCTGTAAGGTTTGGTATAGAGTCCTCTAAATCTACATGTAATAAAGTCTACTAGTGTTTGAAACTCGCTTAAAATAACAGAATGTAGATTTTGTAGGGAAAGGATGAATATGTTAACTAGAAAAATCCCAAACTAACGGAATGTTTGCATTCTATTGACAACACATTCTGCACAGTTTTTACTTTGCGAAAATGATATTTCAAAATGAAGGTGACCCTTAAATTGATTTGCTCAACTTGATATAACACTTGTCAAAGCGATGAGTTGTCCTCTAATGTCAAATGACACATTCTGATAATAATAAAACTGTCTGATTTCTTTCTACTTTAACGAGAATTCGTAAAATTGCCAAATTGATCACAATTAAAAAAAATCACACACACAGAAGCACACATACAAAAGCCAATAAACAAAACATCCTAGTTCTTCAACTATGGTCTGTCTTGATGATAGCCAGACTATGATGTCCTTATCTTAACTTTCTGGTTTCAACTCGTAATCGAACGGACAGATAAAGTTTTAAACGACTATATCTAGGGATACTTTTAAATTACAATAAAATTGAGAATGGAAATGGGGAATATGTCAAAGAGACAACAACCCGACCAAAGAGCAGACAAGTAAATCTGTCTTCTTTTAAAATTTCTATCAATAACGACAATAATATTCTTCTTTTCTTCTTCTTTTCTTTCATTTATTCTGTTCCAAAACATTACAAGTCCCATAACAAAACAATGGTGTAACGCTGATATCTGTTAAGTGTTAACGTTCAAGTAAGTGCATTCAAACCTATTGGCATCTATCTTACCAACAGTAAAAGAGGGACATCTAGAGTACTAGTACTAGGACATGGTGTCAGTAGCAAGAGATTTGAACTGTATATTGGATCGTAAAATTTCTAACTGCTAATTAGATACTTCTTAACTTGAAGACTGTGCTGCACTCAACTTTTTCTTTTGGTACATTTAACACCTCAATTCCAAAACGAAAAAAAAAATATAAAGAACTTCGCCAAACTTTCACTGTATTGGATACTTAAACTACATAAGTGTCCTTACAAACAACGGTATATTGCTGGGTCTTCCAAGTGCTCCACGAAACCTCTTTCTAAATTATTAACATCTATTTTATCAGCAATCAAAGCCGGGCTCCAAAGTTATTGTGAAACTGCACATTCTAGAGGTGGCGTGAATCAGATGTGGATACTAAAATATTCCAAAGATCTTTTAGAGTACATACAATCTTAGACTCTCTCATCTTGCAATAGTATTTAAAAATTTGACTTTTCTACACTTTACACACGTATTCCCCATTCCAAACTAAAAGACAAATTGAAAGAGTTGGTATTACTTTGTTTCAATAAAAAGAATGGCGAACGTAGATACAAGTATCTTGTCTTGGGGAGGGATAAATCCTACCTTGTAGACTTTGTCTCTGATTCGAACAAAATTTTCTCTGAAACTGACATTATCAATTATTATTATTTCTTGATTGACAACATATTTGTTACGTTTGGAGGACGCATTTTTCAACAGACTGTCGGAATTCCAATGGGAACCAATTGTGCCCCTCTTCTTGCTTGGCGACTAGTTTCTTAATTATAATGAGGCTGACTTCATACAGGAACTTCTTAGGAAGAAAGATAAAAAGTTAGCAATATCCTTTAACTTAACGTTCCGCTATATAGATGATGTTCTCTCACTAAATAATACAAACTTTGGTGACTATGTTGGACGAATCTATCCCATCGAACTAGAGATAAAGGATACTACAGATACAGTTAAGTCTGCCTCATATCTTGACTTACATCTA